AGAGAGAGAGAGAGAGAGAGAGAGAGAGAGAGAGAGAGAGAGAGAGAGAGAGTCAACAATAATGAGAATCTGCTAAAGGCAATGGCAGAGCAACAACATTGTTTAGGGTCTATCAAAAGAACAGACTTTAGAATTCCTCCCATCTTCTTTTATTCTCTCCCTCTCTCTCACTCCCTCTCCCACTCTCCCTCTCTCTCTTTTTTGGCTCTCGCACTCACCACAGTAATAACAGTTTTGTCGTACACCGTGCTCCTGCCACTCGTGAAATTGATTTTGAACTGCAGACGCCAGCGCATTATGGACTCCACGAGCTCCTTAATGCCTGGACTGCCCGGAAACCAATTGTCCAGCTGCTCGAGCAGATGCAAGCACTTGCGGCCCTCCTCGATGCTATTGCTGCAGTAGACGGGCCCGATGAGCATCTTGTAGAACGGCACCAGCATGCAGATGGAGAGGAACGCCATCAGCATCACGCCCATCGACTCGCCCCCATCCGGATTCTCGCCGTAGCTGCCGTCCCCAATGCCGGCGCCGCCGCTGCTGCTGCTGCTGCTGCTGCTGCTGCTGTCTGAGGAACGGCCAAAGATGATGTACAGCTCGGTGGTGCTCAGGGCAAAGTCGTGGGCCATGGTAGACCACAGGGTGACATTATAGACCTCGTTGATATCCATGACTAGATAATGCAGCTGCTTGACCATGTCGATCAGGGAGCGCAGCTGCGGCTTCTGCAGGCGCTGCGGCTGCAAAATTTGCTGCAGCAGGCGAAACCGGATGTCCAGCATCTCGGCCAGGCTCATGTGCACGAAGCCCGTTAGATGCGGGCCGCCTGTGATGACGATGTAGCAGAGGGCGGCGGGCACCACGATCTCCAGCTGACGGCCATCGGCCAGGCGAGCCAGACCCATGTTCACAGCGCCCAAGTAGAGGAAGGCCACCGTGAAGAGCACCACGATGTGCTTGCGCACCACCTTGCCATAGTTCATGCGGGCCCCGAACTCGCCCATCAGTCGCCTGTCGATCTCGGCCAGCTGCTGGTAGATGGCCACGTATCGCTTCGACCAGGAGTGCAGCGAGATGCCGGTGATCAGGAAGACGAGCGTGGAGAGCAACAGCTCCATGGCCATGATGCACAAGATGAGCTTGTCCAGCTGCAGCACTCGCTCCAGCAGCACCTCGTTTTGCAGCAGGGCATAGATGGTGGCACTCAGGCCATAGATTACCAGGCCCACAAAGCTCAGGGAGTAGAGACGCGTCCACCTGTTGCTGACGAAGCAACCTGCCCGCTCGAAGAATCCACTGCAGCCCATGACGAACTGCACCCAGCTAATCAGGCTGACGCATTCGTGCAGACTTTCCGGCTCCCGAATGAAGTAAAAAATCGCCATTGTTGCCAGCTGGCTGGATGAATCAGAGCTCGGTCACGCTTCGTGCTCAACTGAATCCGAGTCTTACGCACCGCCCAGCTCTGTGGCCCTTGGATATTCCAGTAATTATCGAATGCCGTGCCATAATGAAGCAATCCATCTGATATCTGTGCAAAGTGAAATGCATCAATAACTAATTAGGCACATTATATACAGAGGACGGACGACGACCCTCAACCCTATAGACCAACCAAGCTGGCGTAGTCTAAAATTTGTTTTAGCTAGCAATCCATCATATGAATATAAAATAAGTGGAATAAGGCGTGGGGCAAAGGTTTTATATTCAAATACAAGATCTATTTATTTACCTTCACACTGCGGAAGTATCATTGCCCAATGCTAGGCTTTGTAGTACGTGTTCTATTCAGTTTAGGTTTTTCTCTAATCCTTATCATTTCCATGGCTTGAACGTAGAACTTAATGACGGCAACATGTTCGCTGAGCCCCTTGGAAGAGACGTCGGTGATTTTTAGGAAAAACATGTAAGCACCCAGAGGCGGAACTGGGAATATGCTTTCATCAAGGGACAAATCATGGGCATATACATGATTCTGTATGTGATAAGCATAGGAATTAAACTAGTTTACAAATCAGTGAATATCAATGTCGCAATACCTCGATTGGGCAGGCGTGGTTCACATTTGAGTAATCTTTGATTGTTTTCAACATTAGTGTCCCGTAGGGCAAGAAGCTTCTTTTAGCTAGGATGTCGCAGGCATTGAACGTGACATTTACCAGGAAGGGATGGTATTGATTGTTGTAGCCCTTCTTAAACACCGCAAACTGGACCTACATCAGAGACTAGATAATAGCTAGATATTACTATAAGTAGACATTATTCCTTACCGAAAAGTTGCGCATTGGCACTACGAGATCACAGTCCATTTGGGCAACTGCCTTGTTCCAATTGACTGCTTTGACGATGCAGGAGATATTCACAACGCGCTTCGGGTTGCCAGAGCATTCGACGTTTGTTGTCTTAAATATAATCTTTGGTTCAGCGCCCTGAAGGAGGAAAAGCCGTTAGTATTTAATAGATCGTATTCTAATTGAACTTAACTGCACTCCAGTCGGGCAATAGGATTACGAAGACAAGCCAAGGTAAATACATATTGTCAACTGATCGACTGTCAAGGGCTGCAGTATTATATTATAGAGCAACAAAGTTGTTTTTAATTGCAGGAATATCGAAATAAATGAGGTGAAACCATGTGAATTTCAAAATCGTAAAATTAATTTTACATTGGTAGCAAAATTTGGAGCTCGAAATCTATTTTACGGTGATTATATAATATCTAACTAACTAGGTTCACTGAAATACATTTGCAATTTAAAATGAATTATTAGATAATAGAAATTTCTCGATTTAGTTTTTTTTTCCAGTTTTTACTATAGTTTAATTTTTATTTTATTGTTGCTGCTTAATTTTAACCATTTCCTTAACATTCACATAAAATTTGACGGTGCCAACGAATCGCGCAGGTCCTATTGGGTAGTTCTCAAAGAATTTTAGAGAAATTTGGTAAAAGCCTTGTGGGAAATTTGGCATTAGCTTCTCATCAATGTACAAATTTCTAGCGAGCAGATGACCCTGGAAATCACGAATTCAATAAAGCAATCATCAAACAGTCAATGAACAGGAAAAGATTACCTTAATGGGGCAGCTGTGATTAACATTTGTGTATTTCTTGATCACTTTCCAAAACATCATGCCATAGGTCAAAAAATTCCTCTTCGATATAATGTCACACACATTGACAACTGCATTAACCAGAAACGGATGATATCGATTGCTGTAGTCGCGCTTAAACAACTCTATGTGCACCTAGAAATATCAATAGGGGAATACAGTATATAGGCATGCCTTGCAAATGTTCTTACCGATGTATTTGCCAGAGGTAAAACCAGATCACAGTCCATGTGGGCCACGGCCTTGTTCCAATTGATTGCCTTGAGGTAGCATGTCGCATTTACGGCGAAGGCTGGATCCGGGAAGCATTCAATATTGGTCGACTTATACACAAGCGGGGAATCAGCGCACTATATAGTTAACATATTAACAGATTGTTCTTTTATTTAAGATTGTATTAGATCTTGAGGGTATTACCACTCTGTAAAGGTGCCACAGATAGAAAATAATGCCGATCCGGAAATACATTGCGCTCGTTTCTAATACGTCCAGTGCCCCTAAATGCTATTTATAGATTGATGATGTACGCATTAGTTATAGTAAAACATTTTAAATATCATTAAACAAAAATTATTTAACAGGTTTTTAATAGCAATCGATTAGCAGTATAAATATTGATGTATGTAGGTGACTGTCTAATATGCGAGCGCACTCGATATTCGACATTTCATATATGATGATGGAGGCAGCAAAGCAAAATTTAGGAAACGAAGGATAATATAACATTCAAATCAAATCAGCTGTTCAGGCATGAACATATGAATATATACGATGATCGTATACATGCCTCCGACGCACTCAGCGACTAGCAGGTAGCGC